CAAACAACTGCCTCTTGGTCCAAGTACAGATTCCTCATGAGCACAATTAAGTGTTCCAGAATACTCATACTTCACAATGTTGTCCATAGCTTGTCGTGATCCACACAATTGAAAGCCTTTGCGTAGTCAATAAAGCACAGGTAATTATAGTTAAATTAGTTTTTCAGCCCATCAGTGATGATAATAGCATTTTAACATATATCTATCATTGCAGACAAACATGAAGCTAAATTAAAAGGAGTGATATACTTTCAAGCCATTGAAGAAGTATATTATGATCACCTAAAGAATGCTAATAAGGTAAACATTGATTTTCTATTTTCTTAGAATTCTGAATGTATCATTAAGTTGTGAGAAAGATGTTTTTTGAGTTCCAAGTCATTTGGATTTGTGTTTCCGACATAATGGGTAGATACGATCAGAATGGAGCCAAGAAAGTAAACATAGAAATAACAGGGACAGCGGGACAAAAAGGCATGGAGAAGTGAGGAAACGTTTTGGGATTGTTGGTTTGGGGGAATTCTGCAGAGTAACTCATTTTTAGAGTTCTTGCTAGCAGTTATGACAGGTAAGATGTTAAATTATTGGCATGAAACTCTATTGTGAATAGGAAAAAATTGACACCAGTATCTTCTGATGCAAATTGAATACCTTTCATACCCACCTTTATTATTCTTTATTATTACCTTTGATTATGAGTATCTTTACAAACCCAATCTTTGTCTATGAATATCTACAGGTGAGCATCTGAAAATGATAGCATCAGTAGATGGTGTGCTACTATAGTGTACAGAGTACATTTTACGAATGTAACATGCTCAAACCAAAACACACACACAAAACCAAACCTGATGATCATAACTGCAGTTCATCAGGACTCAAATGCATTGGAAGCGGGGATTACTTGTAGAAGTGATGAGATGGATCATGAGGAAGGCTCTAACAAGAGTAGCTACAATCTTTGGAGCACCTATTATGGTCCAAGTATCCTGCTGGAACTACACAAACTGTCTGCTGAGAGCACTGGGGAACTCTGTAAGATGTGCAGAAAGATGGTCTATACTGAGAAACATGCTGGAGGCCAGGATATGGGTTAGACAAGAGGGGGTAAAAAATAATGCTTACATTGATTAATATAAATGAGAACTTTTAGAGCAGAAGAAGCCTTCACATATGTCTTATGTCATTTAATGTTCTAATTTCGAGATGTTTATTTACAATTCTTTTCCTTATTTTATTTTTAGAGTCCAAATCCATTACTCACGTTTAGTGTCAAGACGCATGACAGAATCTATTATATGGTGGCCCCGTCGCCGGAAGCCATGCGGATCTGGATGGATGTTATAGTTACTGGGGCAGAAGGTTATACTCATTTCTTGTTGTAGTCATCTGGGCAACAGTCCACTTCAGGGCATACTGCAATAATGTCTTTCAAGAATGAAGCCATATTCAGTCCCAGATGGAGAGACCCAACAAACCAACCCCATTAAGCAAAATGGTTTTCATATTAACAAGAAGTCATTTATAATAGAGGAAGAAGGAGTTTTAAGTCAAAACTTGATCATAAATAACAAAAGAACTGAAGCGCCTATGAGAAAGAAAATATTATTTTGATGAACAGCGTCATTTATAGGATTATTTCTTACAAACTGTTTTAGTAATCAATTGTTGGTTATGGAAAAACAAACTGAATAGTTTACAAAAATATTTATATACATTTGGAAATTACTTCAACACCCTAATCATTACGTTAGCACTGACATTTTGGTATTCAACTGGTTTTCTAAAATGTGGCATTTTGCTAAAGATGATTTTATAAATATAAGCAGATAAGACTTGGAGGGTGAAATTGGAGGGGTATATATTTTAGGAGGAGATTTTGCCTTAATTTTTAAGACTGCACCAGAGCCAAAGATTTGGCATGACTTGTATTTATGAGTCCTAGTTTTAAGTGATGAGCTGTGTTTAGTGACATTCTACTTTATAAACTGGTATTTTGATGCCATCCAGTGCCCAGGAAGACACCACGGACTTAAGCTACTGTACATATATAGGAAACTCTTCTACTTAACAGAAGAAAGAACACAACACTGTGTGTTTTAGAAAGAAGCAGTCTTAAAGAAGCAAGCAGTAGCCGATTTCCTTTGACTTACCTGATCTCTTCATTGTGAAGCACACCTGTTAATTAAAGTCTCCCTCAACGGAATCCTGAAATCAGAGCTGTTTTTACCAAAGAATGTTGTTGTTATTGTTAAGTGCCATCCAGTCGGTTCCGACCCATAGCAACCCTGAACAGGGTTTCGGTGGCTGTAAACCTTTACGGGAGCAGAAAGCCTCATCTTTCTCCTGTGGAGCAGCTGGTAGTTTCAAACTGCTGACCCTGCGGTTCGCAGCCCAATTTGTAACCACTACGCTACCAGAGTAGACCAGTCAAAATACTTATTTGCAGAAGTGGTGTAAATCTATAAAAATGCAAACGAAGTTCAACCTGGCATTGTCTGTAATATACCATTTTACTATGTATTTCTTTTCATTATAATTAGCCTTTGGTTTTTGTTATTGTTAAGTGCTATTTAGTGGGCTCTGATTCAAGGAACCTTGTATAGAGTTTTTGAGGAGCAGCTGTTGAGTTTTAACCATTGACCTTGCAGTTCAGTGCTACAAATGAAATTACTTCGGGCAAGTTATTTTTATGACAGTTTTTCAAATGCCGTTTATACTGGTTTATCTTGAGTGTGTTTTGAAGAGAGAATGTACTCTCCTAAAAAGAAGACAATAAATAGCAGTAACAAAACAATGACCTTGCTGACTAGATTAGAAGTGTCTCTCTGAGAAAATCTTTGTCATGCCTGACTGGGTACATTTTTTAATTATTTTTTTATTTTCAGTGTGGTTTGCATACATGTTGCCGCTAATACGATTTTGCAACTGGACGACCAGTATTTTACTTGAAAGTGAAGGACAAAAATCACAATTGAAGAAGACATTTTTATATAATCTATTTTGTTTGGTTTTATTTTGTTTTCACAGATCACATCAATACCTTATCATTATCTAGGAGAATAAAATGCAATCGCTAATATTTTGTTGGCTAATATAAGGGTGTAACTTTTTCTATACTGTACTTTTTCACATGACTGTAAAGGTATTCTAATCAACTTTATATCTTGTATGATGTAGTAAACCGTTTAAATATGTGTGTTAACATAAGTTGATTTTGGATTTAAATGTTAACCTGATTTCAGTTAGAAAATAAACTCATCCTTCATGTGGAAGTTACCTATTAGTAACATAATGGAGCAAGAATGTAAATTAGTGACATAATGGAGTAGAATGTAAATAAAGGTTGTTAATGTGTGTTAACATAATGATCCATAGTGTATAAACTGAAGTCCTTAGATGCAGTATTTCCGGTCACATTCTTACTGCTTACAAAAGGAAATAAACCTTGAAAATATCTGATACCTTCTTGTTGGGAGCGGGGAGTTTGCACAGATGCACTTGTTGTTAAGTGTTGTTGAGTCTGTTGCAACTCATAGTGACCCTGTATAGGGTTTATGAGAAGTGGCTGATGGATTTGAACCTCCAACCTCATGGTTCAAACTAACCTTGGTGTCAAGTGCTTAACATACAGCACCACACCATGACTCCACAAATGCACTTACTACTGGGGATTGAAGGACCATGTCTGCTTATCTGTCTGCCTAATAGAAAGAAAAAACAAAAAATCCAGCAAATGTGAAGTAAAGATATGAAACTTTACTTGATGTAGTGACATGGTTAGTGTCGAGTCTGTTCCAACTCCTAGTGACACTGTATAGGGTTTTCAAGGAGTTGCTGGTGGGCTTGAACTGCCAACCTGGTGATGAGCAGTCCAGTGCTTATTCTACAGCATCACATTTGTCGGAAGCTCATTTGTCTCCTTGAACCAAGGGCACAAATTTCAAAGAGAAACTGCTTTCAACTATTGGTTCTTACACTTTTCTGTGTGTTAATGAAGGCAAATTGAAAGTAGGTATCAAAGTAGAAGCAAATTTGCCTCTTTGAAGTCCATCCCTGTAAAAAAGTATCTTGGCCTGATTTGTTAGGCTTAACGACTATGGAGCGAGAAAACCACCCATAGGTTTCTCTACTTTTTAGATGCAGTTTTTTCTCACGATGTCAGATTTTTCATTTTGCTGTACATAAAACAAGTTGTTAAGTGCTGTCGAGTCAGTTCTGACCCATAGCAACCCTGTATAGGGTTTCTGAGGAGCCGCTGGTGAGCTTGAACCACCAGCCTTGCAGTTCAAACCATTAAGCCACAGTCCAGTGCATTAACCTGCAGTGCTACACCAGAATTCCAAAATGACAAGTTGTTAAGTGCTGTGGAGTCGATTCTGACCCATAGTGACCCTGTATAGGGTTTCCGAGGAGCAGCTGGTGAGCTTGAACCGCCGACCTTACAGTTCAAACGGCTTCAAGAGCCCTTCAAAAATAAAGAGGAGGAAAGGGAGAAGAATGGTTGAAAATATTTGCAGTTATCCAAATCTACAGATAGAGATGTTTATGGATACATGTTAAGATATAAAGACAATGAGCATCACCTTCACAGTCTAGTCCTTTGGAAATCTACACCAGGCCTCATAGAGGACTGGTAATATAGCTCAGCAAATCAGGTGGCTCCTTCGCTGTAAATTTCTGATAATACTTGTCTCAAGAAAGATCTATTCAATGTTTTGCCATTACCCACTTTTTCACTGCTTCCCAAGATGCCAAAGACATGCTAACTCCTCTGGATCCAACATTTGCCTTTAACTCTGACACATATATGACCAAGATAGGAGAGTGGTTTTACTCAAAGTTTTGTACAAGGTTTCACTCACTGATGCTCAAGATCCCCGGGGATTACTTTAAAGGGTGCCAGGGTTAGAGTCAGAAACCCTTGTAAAATCATCCCAGGTATACACTTTCAGACCTTTTGAGGAAAGATGTAATCTTACTCAGAATTTTCTATTCTCCCCTTCCTTCATTCAAGGAGCTCCAGATTTCAAATAAACAAAACTTAGCCAGGTTAGCATATTAACAATGACAGAGGTTCTCAAACAAAACTCATCAGAGTATATGTGGACTGTTAAAACTATTCTTGCCTAGGCTGTGTGCCCAGAAATTCTTATATTAATAGATATGAGAAGGATAGATCTACTGATGTTGCTGCTATGTGCCGTGGAGTTGGTTCCGATTCATAGTGACCCTGTACAGGGATTCCGCGGCTGTAAATCTTTAAGGGAGCAGGAAGCCTCATCATTCTCCCATGGAACAGCTGGTAGTTTAGAACTGCTGACCATAAGATTAGCAGCCCAGATTCGTAACGACAACCAGAGTTCCTTTATGTAACTGATGAGCACCTTGAAAAACCAAGGGCTCTGGAAAGATGAGGCTCCTACTAAATAAGTTTGGCAGTTGTATTTATTTTGTTTGTTTTTTAATGCTCTGACCTGTACCTTCTCTAGGTATGTAAGTCAAGCAGGTTCCTGGTGAATTTGGCCCCTGGGGCCCCATAGCTTCTCTGTCACCCCACTTGCCTGCCTACTATCTCTACCTGTTTCCAGCTTCTCTTATTGTCAATTTTTAACAAAATGCATTGTCCTCATTGCTTGGACAAGAAAACTCTTCTAATTTTAATGGGAGTAACTAGGCTGTTAGCTGAAAATTAGATGTTCAAATCCATACAGGCACCTTGGACGAAAGGCCTGGTGTGCCGTGGAGTCATTTCCGACTCCTGTACAGGGTTTCCGAGGCTGTAAATCTTTACGGGAGCAGAACACCTCATCTTTCTCCCGCGGAACAGCTGGTAGTTTCCAACTGCTAACAACTCCCCTTGGAGGAAAGGCCTTGTGATCTGTATTGGAAAAGTCAGCCTTTCAAAACCCTATGTATCACAGTTCTAATCACGGGGTCGCCATGAGTTGGAATTGACTCCTTAGCCATTAAAGCCTACTCATTTGGAGCCGAGGTCCAATTTACAGCTGCCCTATATAGGGTTTCCAAGGCTGTAATTTTTTACAGAAGCAGTACGTCTCACCTTTTTTTGGAGCTGCTGCTGGGTTTGAACAGCTGAACTTTAGTTTGTCCAGTGCTTACTCTACTACTGGGACTACTGGTGTGGAGCTGTGTGTTAATGCTCTGGACTACAGTCGGTTTGAACCGCCTTGCCTGTGTGGTTCAAGTTCACCAGCCACTCCTCGGAAACACTACACAGGGACGCTATGGGACGGAACCGACTCGATGGCACTTCACAACATTAACCACAAGGTCCCAAGGTTGGCAGTTCAAACATACCAGTCACTCCTTGGAAACCCTATACAGGGTTGCTGAGTGAGAACCAACTCGAGGTCACTTAACAAGTGCACTAGGATAGCACCTCACCTGGACTGTTACAGGGCACTAGTAGTAAATCATTAAGTGCTGTTGAGGCTGTTTCAACTCACAGCAACCTTGTATAGGGTTTCCAAGAAGCGGCTGGTGAGTTTGAACCACTGACCTTGTGGTTCAAACCGACCTTGCTTTAACCCACAGCGGCACATTTTTGCCAATCTGATAGATTTGTAAGCGCATCATTTAGGTTAGATCTAGTAAGCACTTCTGGTACAGATTAAAACTGTATAAGGGTGACAGGGCCTTGTGATGCAGCCAGACTACCTAGCATTGTATGCTTCCACTCCTTAGCATTCCTGGAGAGATTAGGTGGATTTCTATCTAGAAAGATTGGGTAATGGTTCCTCTTTTGGATATCTAACAGTCAACTAAGAAAGTAGTCACCGGGACCACTCAAAACCATCCAAGCTGGAAATGGCAAAAAGCTCTCCGGAAAAAAGCGGATAGGGTGAAGTGAGCGATGCTTTGCGCATGGGCATTCCCAGTGTTGAAACTGAGGAGAGCTCCTTCGCAAGACCTGCCTTCCAGCGGAAGACGCATGCGCAGCTTCCCAGTCGGCCCTTGTGGGACGCAGGGACAGCTGGGAAGATGGCGACCTTCGGCACAGCTGCTTTTGCGGCTTGGGCACCTTGTCGGAGCTTGGGCTGGACGACCGTCTCTTTCGTTTCCCACCGCGGCCTCAGCGCCTTACTTGCACGGAATCCCATGCTGGCGCCTTCGTGGCTCCCAGGTCAGTGTGCGAAAGGTTAACTGGGATGCATTTTTTTCAAATATCTCAGGTTCCGTCATTCCCTGGCCAGTGCGTTTTGGGCGCCCGATTTAAAAATCCTCACCCGCGCCTCCTTACCTTTTCTGTGCCTCTGCCACTTTCCATTGTTCTGATGCAGGCTATGAGACCTCTGCTGCAGGCTCGGGATATCCTCCTAAGCTGCGCTAGTTCTTGCAGGCGATTTGTGCCAGGCAGGTTAAGAAGCTTCAGCTCTCTGCCTGCCTTTTGTACATTAAGCACTTAATAGGAAAACAGTTAACATGTGCATTCGATTAACATGTTTAGTTGATTGTTATTGTTAAGTGCCATCTTGTCCGTTCTGAATCATAGCGACCCTGTATGTGTTTCCGAGGAGCCGCTGGTGGGTTCGAACTGCCAGCCTTGTCGTTCGTAGTCCATTGCTGATCCTACACCGCGACGCCAGTTGATTAGTTTCCCTGTTTTTGCATTTTCTTTTTTGGAAGTCGTGACCGTTAAGTTGTTTAGACCTGTTATACTTAAGGGAACTTAGAACACCAGGTTTGTGCTTTGTAAATGTGTCGATGCCTTCCTCTAGCCTGATTTCTGGTTTTATCTTCTCCAAGTCCTCACTCAACGAAATAATCACGTCATTACAAAGAAAACTAGAAACTGAACCAAAACCCTGAGAATCTGAACATTTATTTTGTATGTACATCTTTGTAGATAGTCTTTCTGAGTTATGTCGTTTTTGGTTTGTTTTTTTTTTTTTATTTGTGTTTGGCCAAAAATTAAAAGGATAGCTGAGAAGAAATGCATCATAAGGTTTCATGGTTTATAATTGATTACCAAATATGTTCACCAATGAAGCAAACCCTGGGGGATTCCAACCACCTACCCACCTTTGGTTTAGCAGCCAAGCACTTAACTGTTGCACCAGAGGACTCCTTATAATTAACTTACATTTAATTGTACACCATCCAAAGGTGTGTTAAACTGTTGTTGTTAAGTGTTGGCATGGCACTTAACAGTCCAGTATGTATTCTACAGTGCAATAACTGGATACCAACTATCCATTGTTGTTAGTGCCATCAAGTCAATTTCAACTCATAGCAACCTTGTATAGGATTTCTGAGAAGCAGATGGTAGGTGTGAACTGACAACTTTGCAATTAGCAGTATCCTACAGCGCTTCACAGAAAATGTCAGTGCCTTAAATACTCCAACTATTTATCAAACATTCATTGAGCAGTTTTGCACCAAACTTTGAGTTAATTCTTACCTCACATAGAAAATTTTTTGGATATAATATTAAGAGCCTATCTGGTAGCGTAGTGGTTACGAATCGAACTGCGAAACACAAGATCAGCAGTTCGAAACTACCAGCTGCTCCGCGGGAGAAAGATGAGGCTTTCTGCTCCTGTAAGGATTTACAGCCTCGGAAACCCTGTTCAGGGTCGCTATGGGTCAGAACCGACTCGACCAGCACTTAACAACAACAACAACAACAACATCCATTTATAAACCAGATTACATAATTTGTAATTGCTTCAGGAAATTCCTTTGTGGGATGTGATCGCTAAAAAGACAGGAAGGGTTTTTTTGTATTCTGAGCTAATGGAATGGGAAATAAATGTTTTTACTAATACAATCTGCTAACACTTATAATGTATGCATCATAGCAGATCCCTACTTAGCCCTGTTTTTCACTAAGAGTTTTAAATTTGTCGTGTTTCCCTACATGCTGAAACTTTTAAAACAACCTTACATGTAAAAGGAATAGCTTTAAGGCCTAAAACTAAGTTGTTGTTTTAAAATCAGCTTTTAAATCTAAAATGGTTAAGCAGTTCACATGGAAGGGACAAGTATTATTTAACCACAAGAAGTGAAGGAATGCTCCATTTACTATAAAGAGATTTGCTGGTCCAGTAAAAGGATGTACAGAACTACATAAACCTAATGTTTTGGTGGAGTCCTGGTGTGGCGCTGTGGGCTAATGTGTCAGACTGCAAAGCCCTTTGAACTGCAAGTTTGATGGTTCAAGCTCACCAGCTGCTCCTTGGAAACCCTATACAGGGTCCCTATGGGTTGGAATTGACTCTATGGCACTTAACAAGAGCAACAATGATTTTGGAGGCTGGGATTATAAATGACATTAGCACATATTTTATATTGTTTTTAAAGAGCATATGGTGGTGGTAGTGATGGTCGAGTCCATTCCAATTCATAGCCACCCTGTATAAGGTTTCCCAGGCTGCAAATATTTACTGGCGCAGAAAGTCTCATCTCCTGCACAGCAGGTGATGGATTCAACTGCTGACCTTGTGATTAGCAGCCCTACTGCTCTACTGGAGCACCTTCTAGATATAGGTGGGAGGGAACCTTTTAAAAAATGCACCTTAATGTGCCTTGTTGGTGTTAATTGCCATTGAGTCGATTCCAACTCAGAGTGATCCTGTTTAGGGTTTCCAAGGAGAAGTTGGTGGGTTTGAACAGCCAGCATTGAGGTTCGCAGTTCATTGCTGATCCCACAGTGCCCACACCAGTAGTCCAATTGTACTATTGCTCTAAATTTTGTGTGTACCATTCACAGATAATCAAACTAACAAAACACACCATGATTGTAGAGTTCTGTGAAAAATCTTTTCAAAATGAGATTGTTGTACAGTGTTCGAGGTAATTTACAAAGAAATGACTCATCAAACCTACCTCAACTGATCCTGAGTTATGATTGGCTGTTACCATGGCCTATGATTTCTTAGATTGGATGTGAGTCATTCAGAAGGATCACAGCACTGCTGCCTTTTGAATCAGCTTTTCAAGAGCTGTTTTCTGCCCCTCACCCAAAAGTGAAGGATGCAAAATAGACATTTATAAATTATTTTAAAAGATGAAAACCTCATGTTACTGGACGGAAACTAATATAGGTCAGTCTGAATGTTGATTGATAGAATTAAGGGTAGATGAAATATGAAACCATTTTTGATGAGGTTTTTTTTGTCTTTTACCTTGAAATATCCACCTCATTCTACATTTTGGGAGAATCAAAATTGAACTTTGCTGAAAGAAGATACTGATTTTTGGCACAATTTTTAAACTAAAGATCTTATGCACACATACTTGTTGCTTTAACACTTTAGGCTGTTTTAGTTTTACCTATTAATATAGTCCTGGTGTGACACTGTAGGATAAGCACCACTGGACTGCTAACCACAAGGTTGGGGGTTCAAACCCACCAGCTGCTCCCCAGACACCCTATACAGAGTTGCATAAGTCTGAACCGACTTGACGGCACTTAACAACAATAACAACAATTAAATAGAAATAGCATTTGACATCAATTAGAGGAGTTAAAATTACTATTTAAAATATTTATGGTTGCCCATATTGTGTTTACAAACTGTAGTTTATATTTTGTGTACTTTGTTTAGCTTGCAGACAAAAGAGCACAGTCTCTTTCCTTAGTCGACCAGACCTTCCAAAGTTGGCTTATAAGAAGCTAAAAGGCAAAAGTCCAGGAATTATCTTCATCCCTGGCTATCTTTCTAATATGAATGGTACAAAAGCATTGGAGATTGAGGAGTTTTGCAAATCTCTAGGCCACGCCTTTATAAGGTAGGAACCACACATTTCAGAAAAACATTGCTTCCATTTCGCATGGCAATGGAGAAGTAATTCTGCTTTAACCAACTGAAGTAAATGGCTGCATTTTTATAGATTACTTTGTTTGAATGATCTGTAAACTTTCGTCTTGTGATATGAAGTTGCTGTGAAAACACTAATGTAGCTCCAGCTAAAAGGAATTTGTGGTCATTTAAATGTAGATTGTGATGCTTCTTTTTTTAAAAGGTCTTTGTACCTCATTGACAACTCTGGCAGAAAAGGACATGGCATGTCTTATGAAACCACTTAGTAACTAAGCTCTTTAGATGTAATAATCTACATAACAACAAATGGATATAATAGGTGGTTTTCTTGTAATTATATATTGTCACTTTTCATTGGGGACTTCAGGACTTTTATTTGACCATTATACTGTAGTTCTAAATATGTATTTAAAAATAAAGCATATACTGAGAGTCCAGGACAAAATGATGGTGTGAGCAGACGCACTGAATCAACCGTCTGCAACAAGACATGGGAGACCAAGTGAAATGGTTACAGATGGTGATCCTAGAACCCGATGGATTGAGTGCTGCCTGGAAGAGGAAGCTGAACAGGAGCAGTGAAAGAGAAGGAAAATGAGCAGACTGTGGGCTAGAGTGGAGTGTCATAGCCATCTTGAGCTTTTGCAAGAGCCTGGTGATACAGTGACCTGTGGGCACAGGATGTGTGCTGGAGGGCAGCAAGGGAGTGCAGTTCTCCCTTATTCCTGTACCCTTCTGGTAGTCGGGGGGCGTGACCAGTCCTCATCCTCACCAACCTCCTCCTATGCAGCCTCTGCTCTGCCTGGGACCAGTGCCTGACAAAATGCCCCTGCTTCTGGAGGCTCATGAACCTGCCCTGAAGTATGTGACACAAACAGTGACCAGAGAACTAACTGCATTCATACTTCAAGTCTCTTCCACATCCATCAGGAGACAAGTAGTGAGTGCCTGAGAACACAGCAATATATAATCATCAACTAAATAGAAACACAAGACAGAATGCCTCAAACAAGTGACCAAAATACAGAATCAGAAAATATAATGTCAGAAACTACTTAATAATTAATTTAAAATAATGCTAATTAGACATCATCGTCAATGGATTGAGATAATGGCAGATGAAATGAAAGAAAACATAGACGAAACTATGGAAAAATTCAGGAAACAAATTGACAAAATAATTGGAAAATATGGAAACCATGCAGAACCAACAATTAGGAAACCATAAGATTAATACTAAGACTTCAGAAATAGATAATACTCTGAAAGGGCAAAGAAATAGAATTGAATCAATGGAATGCCAAAAATCACAGAGTTTGAAAAAACATCTCTCAACATTCATCTATTAGAGGAACAGTTAGAAAAAAATTAATTAAAAAATCTGAAGAAAGCCTAAGATTAAACCCTCCCCCCAAAAGAAAAAAAACATGTATTTAAAAGTACTGTAAGACTGGTGTTGTATAACATGTTTCCACTGAGTTACTCTCTCTCCAGTCATCTGAATATGTCTAAATCTAAATTAGGATTGTGCTGAGGAAAAAAGGCCACAGATCAAACACTGCCTACAAAGATCCTTTATTATGCCTCAAAGGAGCTCTGGTAGCATAGTGGTTATGGGTCGGGATGCTAACCTCAAGGTCAGCAGTTTGAAACTACCATCAGTTTTGCGGGAGAAAAATGAGGCTTTCTTTACCCGTAAAGATTTACAGCCTCAGAAACCCTGTACAGGGTCTCTATGAGTTGGAACCGACTCCACGCACACCTACAACAAGCTTCAAGCAAGGCAAAAACAATCATTTGGCTGAGGGAAGCAGTCAACATGCACACAGAATGGAGGCCACTGAGTTTGTGAAATCGCAGACATGGTTTTATTGTATCTGTTAGAGAACGAAGGAAATCGCAAGATCATGTTTGGAGGCAGGTCTATCCATCACTATCCCAGGTGGAACTGTGGAAGTGGGGATTGGGTTAGTACATAATTACATGTTGAAAAAGGGTTATAGAATTGGTTTGGGGTGTTTGATTACATGACTACATAGATGTTGGGTGTGATTAATGATCATGCAACCTGAGTCAGCTACAAGACAATGCCAAAACCCTAACTTTTAAATTAGATAACATGCATCTTACTGGCTATTTTTGGTGAATGTCCAGGCAAGTTCTCGAGTTTTTTTGTGTGAACTTCTTTATATACTAGCTAATGTGCATTTAGCTACACTTCCTGAAAGCAGACTGCCACTCCATGACCTTGCCCAGAGTTTGTTCTCCATGTAACCAAAGCTTTGATAATTTGAATAATAATTATTTTAACTTGTACCTTTCAGTTGTATTTGTTTTACAAGTAGCATCTAAAGTGTGTGAGTACCTAGCTGCTATGAAAAATGCAGAAATAAAAATTGGATAGTGGGAATTCCTCTCCAAGACCTTATCATTTCATAGTGATGGCAAGTTACATATACAAGGGAATTTTAAAAAGTTCATGGGAAAATGGAATTTTTCCAGACTTTTTAAACCTCCCTGCTATACACATGCACACACACACACACACACACACACACAACTGTGGTAGAAAGTATATATTATGTTGCATACTGTTAAGCAAATTCTGTAGAAGTTTCACAGGGGACAACTTTTTTCCCCAACTTATCTGGAAAGCCATCCCCCTCCCCAGACAACTAAATGAATGGATCATTGATGATAAATCACTGGACTCAGAGAGGATATTAACCATTGCAGGCATTAGGAGAAGGTATTCTAGGTGAAGGGAATAGCATCAGGAGTCAAAAAGAAATGAGAAAATAGGGCTTAGTTTAGGAATAGCAAGTTGATCCGTTTAGCAAATGCTGTAGTTTTCTCTGATGAAGTGATCAGAGAGCTGAGATGAGCAGAATACAATGACCTTAAAACAGTGAGTAAGGAAGGCCGTAGTCAAATTGATACATTTGTGTTATGGTGTTAGAGAAGAATATTAAAAATACCATAGATTACCAGAAGAACGTGGAAATTATCAGGCAATCTCTTTGATATCCCATGCAAGTAAAGTTTTACTAAAGGTAATACAGAAACGGCTGCAAGCATACATTGATAGTGAACTTCCAGAGATTTAAGCCGCATTCAGAAGAGCCC